CTATTTTTACATTTTTACAGAACAATTATTGGTCATTCTGAAATTTATTTTACATATTTACAATATATAGTGTAGTGCAGTGTTGATTTAAAGAAAATAATCTTGAATTACACCAAGTGAACTTAAAATTTTATGGGTGAAATGGCGGCATGAAGCATGGGGTGACTTCTCTTCCAACCTCACTGCCTTCTCCTCTCCCTTCTCCTCCACCCCCATTCTAATTCCCATCATCATCAACCAGGAGCCTTCTACATGCACACCTCAAAGTAAGTGTACTTTACTGCATTCATTTTTAGTTTGTATGTAATTTTCGGTGAGGTGGAACCAATTACCCAAAACCCCATTGAATCAATGGTTTCGGTTAACAAAATTTTCGGTTAACGAACGACCTTCTGGAACAAATTTTGTTCGTTAACCGAGGGACCACTGTACATTGTTTATTTGTTATTCTTACTCCACAATTTAAAATTAATGGAACGTAATGTAGAAGGAATACGACATTGTTTACTTATACTTACACTCAATATTGTGGGTAATCAGCTGTTCATTTGTGTCTGACAGTGTTGCAGCCAGTGTTACCAAACAAACTGACTGACTGACGCATCTCACCACCATCTTCCTCCCTCCCATCCACTGCATCTTACCGACACTGCCTCTCTCTCATTCTACTATGACTGTCATTCATGATAAAATACTGTACAACAAAAATATTTTATTGCTAAACCAGTAAATAAAAGCCAAATGAAAGTTTAACACAGTCGTCATTTGCATACACTCCCTGCTTCATTATAGTAACAGAGACCAACTGGGAGGTACCTCCTCCATCTCCCTAGCAATGCCCCCCCCCTACAGTAAAACCTCGATAAATCGGACTTCAAAATACTGGAATTCGCTTTTTCCAGACTCTCTGAGGTGCTCTGGTCACAAAAAAAGGTACAGGTTGACAACCCTTTATCCGAAATTCCGAAAACCGAAAGTTTTTTTTGCGAGGATTTTTTTTTTTTTAACAGAGATTAGCCCACCCAGGCATAGATTACTAACCCAGATTGGGGCCTGGGGGCAAAAATGTAATAGTAATAATAATTATAATAATAATAATTATTCATAGTAAATAAAATTTTTAATAAAAATACACCAAAATAAAATAATAATAACAATAATAATATTAATAAGATATAATAATGAAATTAATAATAATAATAATAACAATAATACAATAATAATAATAAAATAATAATAACAATAATACAATAATAATAATAAAATAATAATAAAAAAATACAAGGATGAAAAAAGAAAAAATGAGAAACACGACTTAGACCTATGAATTATTATTATTATTATTACTATTGTAATTTTTAATATATTTTGGCCCCCCAGGTCCGATGGGGGTCAGTGATCTATGTCCGGGTGGGCTAACACAAAAAAAAAAAAAAAAATCCGAAATCCAAAAAGCCTCTGGCCCCAAGGATTTCGGATAAGGGATTGTCAACCTGTACACACTTTCAGAAATTGGGAAGGTAAAAAAAAAAATATGAAAAGAACAAAACTTACTCAATGAATACTGTACAGTTGTCTAATCAGATTTGCTATAGGCCTTCTGAGAACTAGGACACTGAGTATGTAAGCAGGCTGGGGCTGATTGGGTGTTGCCGCATTCCTCAGGTTTATTAATTTATTAATTCAATATTATATTCTCATATGATTGGCCTCTTATGGTTCATCAGGATTAATATAACATCTTCAATAATAAAGAAAAATACACTTAGTTATTTGTAATATGACTTGAAAATAAAAGGATAAGCTGTATTGGAAGGTCTTCATTCAGGATGCATTCGTGGAAGAGCTTTCAGTAAATAAGTTTACAACAGGGTCACAATAATACACTGTATAGTATTTGATATGAAGATACCTTCCTACAATGTTATTTTATGAGTGATATATGATGGCTGAATTTGGCTACTTGTACACTTTGATGACCGAGTAATGTTTAAACCAGGGTATTGTATATATTATACTGTAGATACAGCATGCCCTGATAAATTTGCAGGTTTTTAATGTGTGTGTCAGAGTGCACCCAACCTTCACAGGGAGCGGACATGCTGCGCGTCGCTCCTAGCTCATGTTCAAATTGTTGACCGTTACGAATGCCAGCCTTGTTTTTCACGTTGGGCTCTCTCTGGCTGCTTTATCTTGTAGCTGTACATGGATATTATTATTGTACACTGTGCTTCTTCCCTCTCCTATCCTATCCTTTCACCTAGAGTCCCTGTTGTTTGGTAACGACGCGAACCCTGCGGGCAGAGCCACAAAGGGCGCCCTCAGAAGGCTGTTGAGTCGAAACAGTAAGGGTGGCAACATTTTCTGTTAAGGATTCGGCAGTGCTTCATAACCTGTCACTGCTAGGTGTTAGGGCTTGGCTAGGCCCCCGTCAGGGGATTGTCTGTTCACCCTATCCGTAGACCCGTTTTTACTCGCCCAGCATGAGGACAGAAGGAGCGGCATCCATGGGGTTTAGCTGAGGTGGACAGATTAGGTGGGATTTTCATGTATGCTACTGACCATGGCCAAAGTGAGAGTGAAGATCTCCGGAACCCCGACCCAGGTGTCTTGAATAGGGCTAAAAAGGCTATTAAGTGACCTAAGGGTGAGTATAAATAGACTTGTGGATCTGAGAGATGGTTACATCATCCTCAGAGAGACAGATGAAGATGCTGATAAACTACTGAAGTTTAGTGCCATGGACAAAATGAAAACTAACGGTTTCAAAGTCATTGTCCCACGGGAATACGGCGCCAAGCTCACCCTTGCATGTAAAAAATTAGACAAAGATGTAGTGGAAAATAACGCAGAAGAAATAAAAGATGAAATAAAAAAGCAAAACAATGTCAAGATTGTGGAGGTGTATCCAATGTATGCCCATAATATAATCAAGGTTTGCTTTGCAGACACAACGGATGCAAAAAGAATGAAGGAGAAGGGGCTCTATGCATATGGCACTTCCATCTCATCACACCAAATAAAATATGAAAAGTTACACCCATCCAACAATGTATGAAGTGCTACAAATACAATGACCACATGACCAAGAACTGCCCCCTGCCCCTGCAAGGGGTCATATGCTCCGAGTGTTCACCTGATCAGCACTTCTACAAAGACTGCCGTAGCACCATCAAAAAGTGTGTCGTCTGCGAGGGTGGCCACAGGAACTTCTCTGCCACCTGCCTGGTCAGGAAACAGGTAACTCAAGAAACAGAGAAGAAATTGACCAAAATAACCAAGCAAAAAGAAACCAGGGAAATTTCTAACACCATAGAAAAGACCACTCAATTGTGAAGAAGAATTCTCACTCTCGAGTGGCGTGCCTCAGGGCTCTTGTCTCTCACTAACCCTTTACACACTCTACACGGCTGACCTGCCACCCCCAATCGTTGACAGCGAGCACGTCATGTATGCCGACGATGTAACACAGATCGTCACCTGCCCAGGAAGGTCCACAGCAAGGATGGCGCAACTCACTGCTGGGGCAATAGAGGGTATCTCAAGAGTATGAAAATAATGGAAAATAAAAACAAACAAAACGAAATTCAAAGTCATACCCATAGCCAAATTCAAGCCAGCGCCATTGATTATCGAAGACGAAGAGATTGAGTACTCCAAACAAGGCAGGTTGCTCGGCCTCATCATCTCTCGGACGGGCGTCATTTCCCACGTGAAGGACAGACTAAAGAAAGCCATAGTCGCTGCTGCCAAATTAAAACGTTTTAAACTGATACCTGAGAAGATATAAGTCCACCTGTACAAGGCGCTGGTGAGTCCTGTGTTGGAGTACCCACATGTCCCACTCGGGACGCTCGGGAAGACCAGACTACATCAACTAGAGAGCTTCCAAAACAAGTGTTTGAGGTCAGCCAGTGGCCAAGTGCCACCCTACCAGGAAACAGTGGAAACCATCCACCTGAGAAATAAAACAGAGGCCCTCAACGTCAGGTTCCATCGCCTAGGGAAGAAGGTTTGGGACAAGCTCCTGGACGAAAGGCGACCCAACGCCTGGTGGCCACGGAGTCTGCCCGCACTACAGCAACCCAACCCACGAACCATCTATGTCCGCCACAGTGATCCACCTTAGATTAAACCTAGATGATATAAGATCACATTTAATAAGTCACAATCTAGTGGGTCCAGAACGTAATACAGTATAAGATTTTAATAAACATGTAATTGTAAAATCAAACTAGTCATTGTCTCTCAAAGTAACAATTGTGCAACCTCATCCTAAATCCTAGGTTAGCTTAGTTAGCCAACAAACTCTGTAATATGTAAAACAAGGTGTGTCGTTCCCCTCTGTTTAACTCATTAAACTTCTTTTCCAACCTTTCCCCCCACGACTATATGTTGTGACTCCTCTATCCTTCATGTCTGGCTGTGCCTTGAGCCCCAGCATGCCTTCAATCTTTTCCCAACCTTAACCTTAAAAAAAAGTGTGTGTGTTTTTATCAAGATGATGTTAATATAGAAAATCAGGAATATATGTGGGTGAAGGACTGGGCACGATGGGGGGGAAGCCCTGGGAGGGTTATCTAAGGAATGGGGCCCCAACCATTATCTTGTACAGAGCCCCTCCTCAGAAGCTAGAGATACAAAAATATGTATACAAATAACATGAAAGGAAAGTTTCACGTCATCTACTTGGTTACAAAAATATACACCCTGACTGTTATCAAATTATGGTTGCATAAATGATCAGACTGACAAACAGAGCTTTCAATTACATCCCCCAATCTGATACTGAGAAGATGATAACAAACATTTAATTTTCTTGTAAAAATTAGTGCACTTAATTTCCTAAGGTGACCAATTAGGAAACTTGACCTTTTATCATTTAACTCATTTCTCACAATTCACTAACTTAGCATAAGCAAGGGAATAACTTTTAGCGTGGCCATTAACTTTGATTTTACAATTCAAAAAATAATTTGGCATAAATAAATGTAACATACCTTTCTAGAGGTTCCATTGAGTCTGGCAACTTCAATACGATCTGGGCCAGTGTCCGTCCAGTACAAGTTACGGGCAATCCAATCCAATGCAATACCATCGGGATGGAATACCTCGGCAGACACTATCACTTGTTGCTCTGATCCATCCAACTTAGAACGTTGAATACGAAGTGTCTACACCCAAGTAACAAGGAAGAAATAAAAAAGTACATTGTAAAAGGCTATGGTATTATGAGTAAAATATCTAGTACAGTACAGTACAGTACCGTACATCACAGTACATACAGTACAGTACAGTAAAGTACAGTACATTACATTACAGTACAGTACATTACAGTAAAGTACAGTACAGTACAGTAAAGTACAGTACAGTACAGTACAGTACAGTACATTACAGTACAGTACATTACAGTAAAGTACAGTACAGTACATACAGTACAGTACATTACAGTACAGCACAGTACATTACAGTACATTTCAGTACAGTACATTACAGTACAGTACATTACAGTACAGTACAGTACAGTACATTACATTACAGTACATACAGTACAGTAAAGTACAGTTCATTACAGTACAGTACATTACAGTACAGTACATTACAATACAGTACATTACAGTACATTACAGTACAGTACATTACAGTACAGTACATTGCAGTACATACAGTACATTACAGTACATACAGTACAGTACAGTACAGTAAAGTACAGTACAGTACATTACAGTACAATACAGTACAATACAGTACAATACAGTACAGTACAGTACATTACAGTACAATACAATACAGTACAGTACAGTACATTACAGTACATACAGTACAGTAAAGTACAGTACAGTACATTACAGTACAATACAGTACAGTACATTACAATACAGTACAGTACAGTATATAAATCTGGTAACATGGAAGTAATTGCAATCAAAATTAGTTACCATGAATGCCAAAACAGGTATTTTAATTCAAAATACAGCGTACATTCATCCCTGAATATTTACATGCAGGGTGATCTTGTTATACGAGCATTCTTCATTTGAGAATTCGATGATAGGAGGTTAAGGAATTTGCACCTTATATTCGCTAAACGAGCGATATTGTTAGATGATACGAGGAGTGAGTATGGCAGTTTACCCAGCCGAGTAGGCAGAACAAGCAGTGACATGGTCGTGACGACTCTCGTGACGCAGATGTGCAGAGAGGTGTTTGTGAGCCACTAAGCCAGGCCGTGCACCCCTCCCCTACATCCCTACCGTCCTCCCCCCAGTCACCCTCTCCTTTCTCGCAGTGTTTGAATCTGCTATCACAGTTTGTCCGCTCGTACTGAATCGCATTTATTTACTGTCATTACTATACTGTGTACTGTGCTGCTTAAGCATTATGCTGCGATACTTTGTAACTTGCTAATTGTTTTAAAGGCATCCCAAACCTAGTGTTGTGCTACAGTCATGCCTCCTAAGAGTTCAACAAGTTTAACCACCACTCCAGTTAAATAATTATATTAAGTATTATCTTTCTATGGTTGTGCATATGTACCTCTATCCTGGTTAGAAAAAATAATACGTCAGTGATGTCGGTGCATCCCAATTTAACCCTTGTATTATTCCCTCCGTTATACGAGTTTTCGCTATACAAGTGGACTCCAAGGAACGTACCTACTCATATCATCAAGATCATCATGTATTTAGAATTTGCGTTTTCAAAGACTCACAGGAGAAAACAAAATATTAATATTTTCATGCATCTTACGTACATTTGAAAATCAATACTCTGCCAGTTTCCTGTATCATTATATATATATATATATATATATATATATATATATATATATATATATATATATATATATATATATATATATATATATATATATATATATATATATATATATATATATATATATATATATATATATATATATATATATATATATATATATATATGCAAGTAAATCACTGTAGGTGCATGTGATCTAGGTATATGCTGATAACCACAAGGAAAGAAGAAAACACGAAGTTCCCAAGCGCTTTCGTGTAATTCACATCTTCAGGGGTGAGTACAGACTAAAGAGAAATACAAACCAAGGTGTATATATACAGAGGAGGGTGAGACCAGGTCCACAATGGTCAGGTATTAGGTAATGACCCTACTAATCTTTAAATAGCACACAACGGTTGGTGGTCAGGTCAGAGGGTAAGGTGACCCAACTTTCTCACCTGGTTACAAATCTTCTTAATTACAAAATTGTCCAGTTTGTACATGCCATTACTCAAATTCATGTTGAATGCTTCGGTATGTTTAATAAGACTAGATTCTATGATGTTCCTACTATCAATTGAATTACAAGGTAATATTGAGGAGGCATTATCCCAGTCAATGCAATGCTTGTTATCCCTCAAATGAACAAACAGAGCATTGGATTCCTGGCCTGTCCTAACACTGTATTTGTGTTGTTTAATTCTAGTTGCAAGATCTTTACCTGTCTGGCCTAAGTAAAACATATTACATTCCTTGCAAGGAACTTTATAAATGCAACCAATTGTGTTGTTGGGGGAGTTCTTGATTAACATTTGTTTAACAGTGCATGAGTTTTTAAATGCCACATTGACGTTCCAGGTTTTTAGTTGTGAAGGAATGTGTGAGAAATTTTTGTGAAATGGTAATATTAAGATATTCTTATGGTCATGGGTGGGCTTTGGATCAGTTCTATAAAAAGTTTTCTTAGTAATGTTTAGGCATTTGTCTATGAAAGATCTAGGGTATTTAAGGTTTGAGCCAATATTATAGATATATTTGTATTCCTCATCAATGAATTCCGGACTGCAAATTCTCAAAGCACATAAAAACATTGTTGAAAATACCGACTGTTTGACTCTATTATGGTGGGCAGAATAATAATGAATGTATGAACACACATTAGTTGGTTTTCTATAAATACTGAACTTAAAAGTGTTACCTATTCTGTGTATCAGACAGTCTGTGAATGGCAATTTACAGTCTTGCTCTAATTCCATAGTGAATTTGATCGAGGGGGCTAAGTTGTTAAGTTGTGGCAGGAAAGCTTTTAGGTCCTCATTACATGGCCAGAGACATAAAACATCATCAACATATCTAAACCAGACTGCTGAAGGTGGTAAAATATTACTTAATAGTTTCTTTTCAAAGAATTCCATATATAGGTTGCTTAATACAGGTGAGAGTGGATTACCCATTGCCATACCAAATTTTTGAGCATAATGTTCTCCATTGAATTCAAATTTACAATCCTTAATACATAGTTTGATGAGTTTGATGAAGTCGTCTTTGGAGACGGGCAATGAAATATTGTCCAGAGAATCTATGAGGAACTCTAGTAAATCATCAACTGGGACCTTTGTAAAGAGTGATGTTACATCAAAACTGACCAGTTTAAAATCATAATTAATGTGTAAGTTATTGAGTTTATCAACCAAATCCATATTATTCTTGATATTAGAGTTAGAAATGTTTCCAACTAGGGGATTTAGTAAAGAAACTAACCATTTAGATAGTTTATAAGAGATTGACCCAGCTGAGCTAATGATGGGTCTTGCTGGGTTATTAGGCTTGTGGGTCTTGATTACACCGTACATGTATGGCAGTGGAGGGGACGTTGAAGTAAGATGTTTAACGAGAGTAGCTTTGCCGACCGAACAACGTCCGATCGCATATACGTCCGTGCCCCCCAAAACTTCCGTGACGCCTGCTGGACCACCACTCCACGACCCCCTGACGGAGACACGATGATCCTTCCCATACTGGTCAGATAATTATGAGTTAAAGGAATATGCTTCCTTCCTTAGCCTTTTTTTAAGCATTTGCCTCCAGGTGTAATGTTAACCTACATCTATTGAGGATAAAATCTTTCACCTACAAATTGACAATAACACATTTGCTGTAATCAGACATATCTAGTTGCCTCAACAATTGCAACCCCAGTTGCAATTGGGGTCGCAATTTCAAATTCTGTGTCATTACTAAGAAATAGTAAAGTTTCTGGTGCACTCTAAGATTAAGAGAGAAAACGGAGGAGTCAGGCGTCCTGATGCGAGAGAAAACGGACTCGTATGATGAGGTACCAAATTAAAAAAGCATAGCTACACGTTTTGTGGACTACAGTATTAAGCGTACCCTTTTCATCACTTTGTAATAAACCTAGCCATGCCTATGTGTGTTTATGATATTTACCATAACATTATATATATATTTAGTGGGTATAAATGGTCGTAAAATGGGAAACTTGGGGTTGGGTCTTCGGTGCCTGGAACCAATTAGAATAAATCCCATAGGTTCTGTACTTTCGTTATCGCGTTTTTTTTTATCACGCACTCGGCGGGGTCCCAATTAGGCGCTAACCAAGGGATGACTGTACTGTACTGTATATACTTGTGACACTGGCCAGTTGCTTCTGGTGCTATGGTACAGGGGTACCAAGTGACAGCACTAGGATCCCGCTTCCTCTATCAAGGAATAAACAATTAAAATTTAAATTGAAAAAAAAAACCCATTCAAATAATGGGACCTAGCGAACCTAAATGGCCCTAGAGCGGGCACAGTCACGTATGCATCGCGTATTCTTATAGATTGTGCTGCCAGGCGTACGTTATCTAGTGAATTTAGTCAATATTGTACAGTAACAATGGACCTAAGTGCAAACCTGTATTGTACATGTACTAAATGATTACGGTACTAAAATTGTTATGTCTATTGCAAATATAGCTTGTTTATACAGGTATTCAAATAATTTACTATCTTACAAGAATCCCACCAATGTAAGTTATATTCACCCAGGTCGTATGGGTGGCAAATTATGAGAAGAGCGTCACTCTTAAGTAATGATAAATAAACACGCAGGCCTTCAGCGCCAACTGTCAAATCTTATCTCAAATAAATAAAGACACTCTGTCACCTCACCTCACGCTCAGCTGGCTACCTCCCTCCCTGTGTTCCCAGACAAAAGATTGGTGATTTCTTTATGTTTATTTTATATCAAATCTCAGACTAAAGTTAGGATAATATAATTTGCATTGCTGAAATCCTCGCAAGACAGAGATTAATTTAAATATAAGCGTCATAAATTTTGCTCTAGATATAAAAAATGTAGTACATTAGTGTACAATACTGTAGTACATTTTATAAAAAAGTTTTTCAACTGTATTTTTGGGTAGATTTACATAAATTTCTTCATTTATTTTCATCCATTTACATGCACACACCATACTAAAAGAAACGTAAGATAAATAAATGACCTTAGTGCAAAGCTGGAGTGTACATGTACTAATTTGATTACAGTACTAAAATTGTTATATCTAGTGTGAATTACATGTTTATATTCAAATAAATCAGTATCTTACAAGAATCTCAGCTATGTTAAATATATTCTCCTAGGTCAGGGGTTTTCAAACTATGGGTCCCGACCCTTCAGTGGGTCGCGAAATAAATAAATTGGGTCGCAAAATAAAAATGGGTCGCGAAAATATATATGAAAAAAAATAAAATGGGTTGCGAAAATAAATAAGAAAATAAAAATAAATGCACCATAATTTAGGCTTGGTTATTGTAATGTACACTCCACAGTCTAGGAAGCGACTGCAAGAAGAGCATTTCCTGGGTCGCAATTCAAATTGTTGTTTTGGCTGTGGGTCACAGTAAAAAAAGTTTGAAAAACACTGTCCTAGGTCACATCACTGGCATTTTAAAATGAGAGAAGCTTAGTAGGACTGTTAAATAAACACACAGAGACCTTCGGCTCAAACTTTGAAACATATCACCCCAACCCCCCACCCCCCTCGCTGGCTGGCTGGCTCTGTCCGTCCCTCCGTCCCTCCCTCCCTCGCCCCAGCCAGGGTTTTAGGCTTACAGTTTTTATCTTATATAATATCTCAGACTAAAGTTAGATTATAATTTGCATTGCTGGAATCCTTGCAAGACAGCCAATAATTTGAATATAAACGTCATATATTTTGCTCAAGAGATAAAAAATTTTGTACATTAGTGTACAGTACTGTAGTACATTTTAGAAAAAAAGTTTTTCAACTGTATTTTTGGGTAGATTTACATAGATTTCTTCATTTATTTTCATCCATTTACATGCACACACCATACTAAAAGAAACGTAATAGAAATAAATGACCTTAGTGCAAAGCTGGAGTGCACATGTACTAATTTGATTAAGGTACTAAAATTGTTTTGTCTAGTGCAAATTATAGCATGTTTATATTCAAATTAATCAGTATGTTATAAGAATCCCAGCTATGTTAATTATATTCACCCAGGTCATGTCACTGGCTTTTTATAAGAGAGAAGCTTAGTCACTTAAGAACTGATAAATATACATGCGTTAGACCTGGGCCTGTGCCAACTGTGAAACATACTACCTCACCTCCCTCTCTCTCCCCCATCTGCCCGGCGTTGCTGGAATCCTTGTAAAACAGAATAATTTTAATATAAACGTCATGTATTTTGCACGAGATAAAAATTAATCACCTGTATCACATTACAGTAGTGATTTAAGAGTAAAAGTGTATATGTACGTATATAGTATTCCACATACACGTAAGTATAAATACAAAGTTTCTGTGATGATCGGACAACGTCCATTTCGGTTAACGTCACGTTTCCAAGAACGTATCTAGGACATTAACCGGCGCGCGCGCGCACACACACACACATATATATACAGTACTCCCTCTTTATCGACGGATTTTTTATCGACGGTTTCGATTATCGACGGATTATTTAGACGGCACCTCACAACAACAAGACACAGTACCTGCCCACACCCCTCAAGAAGATGCAGACCTTGACTCATCATACTCATCTGACTGGTCAGGCTTTTAATAAGCCTCAATCATCACACTTGTATATACTGTATACTGTATTGTTTACTGTAAGGACCGATGTTCACTTCAATAAATGAAATCGTAAGTTTGCTAGTATTTTTGTCCACTTATTATATTATTATTTATACACTATTATTTAAGGTTATGTGTAAAGGAAACGCATTAATGCTTAAAGGTACATTTATTCAACATATGCTAATAATAGTTAGAAAAATTACGTAACCATCACGGTATCGACGGTTTCTTTATCGACGGCCGTCTACAGAACGTAACCCCCGTCGATAAAGAGGGAGTACTGTATTTGGCATTTTTTGGCTTTACTTTGTATGTACTTTTTCTGAGTTGCAACCAATTGTGTTGTTAATCGAGGGACCACTGTATTAGTTTCACATTCACTTATGACCTGGTCGTCGGTCCCTAACCCCGTTGTAAGTGGACTACGACGAATTGACGGTGTGGAGGGGACATGAATGACGGTGGCAATTAGCATAGATATCTTGCTTGTGACCCTGCATAACATATTCCCAGAAGATTTCTATTTTTATACATCAAGTGTTTGACTTCCCCTGCACACTTAACCAAAAAGCATAGAGGATAAAACAGATAGAGACAAGGCAAGATGAGAACAGCATCTACAGGTATAAAACAAGTCATATTACATCATACTGGTAAGGATAGCCTACCAGTACCGGGTTGTTATTGTTCACCGTAAATGACCCAGACAGTACATAAGGAGAGGTTTGTTTATATCTCTGAAAGTTTGTAAGTGAAATGTATTAAGTATAGGAACACCAGTACAACAGCTACAAGACTTACCTCATCATCTGTCCAGTAGATAAAGCTATCAATGGGATCATAGTCAACAGCAATAGCATGTTTAACCCCCGACACTGGAATTACTACAGCAGTGTGATCTGGAGTGTCCAATGATATACGTCGCAAATCTGTCCGACGAGCTAAGATTAACATCTCTTCTGGACCTAGAAAAATAAAGTGTATTACACAGTATAATATTTACACAGATTAATAATAATAATAATAATAATAATAATAATAATAATAATAATAATAGCTGGTCTTTTGTTTGTGAAAAGTGTCAGTTCTTCAAAAGAATTCAATACCTCTCAAAACACTACAAAGTCAAGGACCTGAGAATAAAAAAGAAAAATACAACAAAAAGTGACTGCTCCTACATCCTTAAATTGTAAAAGTTCCTAAACCCTGTAATTCTCCATCTCTATACCCTCTTCAGGATTATAAGCTTTCGTAAAAAGCAAGGTTCTAAGTTATTTCTTAAAGGCCACTACAGAAGTCAGTTACTTTATGGATGCAGGCAACCAATTGTACAATCTGGGTGCTGTATAGGTATAACCCGAAACCCAACGTCCCAATTACCGCCAATTACATTAGGGGGAAATACCCCGCAAGTTTCAATGATACCCTGGAGATCTAATGATCAGGAGAGGAGCAGCAAAGCTGCTTTGAATTTGGCGGGCGGTGACGCAGTACGAATTCTTGCCACGACTCATTCCTGCCTATCAGCACTTATTTACACTTACCATGTGTTTCCAACTTCGTTTTTTTTTGTCCTCGTTATTTCCGATTTCGTGTTATGCAATCAAAACTAAATGCCCCAGTGGTAGTTCCTCTTGTGTTACCCCTCTTAGGGGCAGCTTGATGTGATGTGATAAGGTGTAATAAAGACTGGTGATAGACGAGCACAGATTGGTAAAGACTTCAACTTGCCACCCTAGACTGTCTCTACCATCCTCAACACAGGTAAATAATAGTCTCAATTTATGCTTTACATTCCTTATTTAAGGCTTATTATGCTTGCTTTATATGTCTGCTTTATTTTCTTTTTTGACAGTGTGCACGACAGATATTTATCAAGGGGAGAGGGGAGTTTTGGGGGGTGGCTGGTCCCTACCTCCTGAATTTGTTATATTTTTATGGGATTAATTGCTTTGATAACCGTTGATGCACTAACCAATGATTTTTCTCGGTTCCTATATGCATTGGTTATCAGGATATGCCGGTATTGAAAAAGGATCGAGCAACAAAAGGACATTCCTGTACAGTACTGCTCTAGGCTCTTCAAGGAGTGAGGTATCATCAATATTTGTACTGTACTATACAACAAAATCTTTTTGGAACTTGCAGTTAGAGAATTTAGTAGGTTGGCCAAATACTTATGATTACCAAACACAAGTGCCTTAACAATCATTAGGCGGAGTTTAAACTCAATTCTTGCTTTAATTGGAAGCCAGTGCAATTTGATCAAGAATGGGGTAGTGGGAGTCCTCAATGGGTGAGCAAAAATATGCCTGGCAACCCTGGTCAAAATTATCTGTACAGTACTATCTTCAGTAGATAATTAGGTAGGCAGACCCATAGAGAGTTACAAGTCAACCCAAGACAAAACAAGTGAATGTAATAGTGTCACAAGACACTGTCTATCCAAAAACTGTTTAACAGCATATACATGAATAACATATAACTGTATAGGTGTACCTCAAAAAACCGACATCCTGTTAACCACCGCTTCGCATTACCGACTATTGCATGTAGGAGAAATACCCCATAAGTTTTGTTAGTACCCGAGATCAGACGATCAGGAGTGGAGCGACACAGCTGTTTTGAATTTGGTGGCTGGTGGCATGGTGCAAATTCTTGCCACCAGAAGGCTTTGCACGCTGCCCTGATTCATTCCCACCATCTTTGCTCTTGTTTACACTTACCGTGTGTCTCTTGAGTTAGTGTTTTTTTGTTATTTCCAACTTAGTGTCTTAGTCAATCACGCCTAAATGACCCAGTGTTGGGCAGCTTGATGTGACGTGATAAGGCATACTAAGAGTGGTGATGGACCAGCATAGATTGATGAAGGCCTGAACTTGCCACCCTTGACCATCTTTACCATCCTCAACACGTGTAAATAACAGTCTTAATTTATGCTTTACATTGCTTATTTAAGGCTTATTATGGTAGTTCTATATGTCTGCTTTATTTTCTTGCTTCAGTGTGTGCATGACGAAGCTATATTAAGGATAGATGGGATTTTTGGAGGGTGGCCAGTCCTTAACCCCTTGATTCTTTAAGGTTCTTATGTAATTAATTGCTTCAATAACCGTTGATTTACTATCCATCAACATTTCCCGGTCCCTGTATGTGTCGGTTGTCAGGGTACACCTCATCATGAATGACAAAATAATTAAGCTGTAAGAGTCAGTGACAAGAACCAGATGAGCGCTGACTCTTTGCGTGCGCGGAACGGTGGGTGAGTGGGTGACACACGGTCAGTTTTTCCCTCCCTCTCTCACTCAGTCAAACCACCACCTCCTTTACCCAAGCAAAAAAGTGAACTGTATAAACTTTTATTCACAGCATCTGATCTAATTGTGTTAAGAGAGATGAATTTGATACCATAATGATCCTGAATAAATTTTCTACAAGACATTTCCAATTAGAGACCCTTAAACAAAATATTTTAACATGATATAATGATGGGGACTCCATTCTTTTATAAAAAAGTAAAAAAAAATGAAACCGGAGTCAATAAAATCGGTTCTAATTATGTACTGTATATTGCAGCCTATAAGTCGACGTTTGAAGCGCCAATTTTTGTGTTCAAAACTAGGGGTCTTATACAACAAGTATAAGATGTCAACCTCTAAGTACGCTCCACCACTAGCATCAGATTTTCACTTTACCTTACTGGTAGGTCTCAGTCACTTAATTTCCAGCACTCACAAACAAGTTTTACCTAACTGTAGCATTTTTCCAGAAGGGTAAATGTTACTGAACTCTGCCTAAGATCAGAGTTTACACAAGTCATACCAACACCTTTCAAAACCTTAAAATATCTTTCGGTGTTAACTACAGTTTTTTACTAACAAATGTTACTAGGGCAGTTACTAGTAATATTTTTTTTAATTGTTTAAACATACAGTTCTGGTATATTCATGTAATGCACCTGAATTTTGAAAACATGTACACAAATGTTTTGTAAGGTTGTAAACAATGCATGCGTGAGAACAGTTAGCTGTCCTGCAACAGCTTGGCCTTTTTTTTTTTCCCCAACACTTGTACCAGTATCAGAGATTATAGATTTTGTTTGCTTGTTGCTGCATACTGCCAACACAAGTGTACTACCATTAATAATATAAAGTACTGTTAATTGAATGTTTTAAATTAGCAATCCAATACAGCTACTTCTCGATTTAAGACATACTCGACCTACGACCACCCGCACATATGACCTGCTTCAGTCGGTACGACCACCCTCACATACGACCGCCACAGTCGGTTCCAAAATTTTTTCAAATGCACGCGTATTTTCTAGACCGAAACGTTTCCGTCCAGTACGAGAGCGTCGCATGGGCTGGGTCGCCTCGTGGCTACAGCATCATTTTGTACATTATTTTGATTACATGTACAGTACAGCTTTGCCCTTAGGACAGTGTATGCATGTAAATGAGTTTCAATAAATGAATAAAGTTACATATATGAGCCAAAAATAATAGTTGAAAAACTTTATGTAGACAAAGCTTGGATGGCTAAATTTTAGAATAACCAATAATTTTAATATACAAAATGCAAATATTAATGAGCACAATTTTCTTGATATTTAATCCACTGGAAACGAATGTAAACATAGAACAGATTACTGCATTGGCGGACTAGCCCATCAGCTGATGCTCACAACAAAACGTGTTTGTCGTAAGGATTTCGTTACTCGAAGTTTTGTTCGTTAACCGAACTGAAGATCCTTATGGGAGGTAATTTGTTAACCGAAATTTAGTTCATCGAACCGTGCGTTAACTGTACTGTCAATATAATGTACAATATGCTTTGCTTATCATGTACCACAATTATTAAGTTTGAAACTTTTTTAATTGCCACTGTACATGTATCCTTGATAATCGCAGGGGTTAGGTTCCCGAAAACTATCGTGATGAACAAAACAGTACATATTAACATATGGGAAACACTTAACATATGAGAAAAATTAGTTTCGTCCCATGAATGCACAGAAGCATCCTCTAACTGACCAGAATATACCCACAAAAATGTGTAGGTACACTAAAAGATACAATACAAGTAACATATCTTTATTGATTAATAAGAAATAAACAATGCACAGTACTGTACAATACAGTATTGTATCATGAATGACTCTTAGTAGAATGAATGAGAGAGGCAGAGTGTCGGTGAGATGCATTGGGTGGGAAGAAGGAAGGTGGGAAGTGGGTGGGAGGCAGTGGATATCCTGCTAATCTACTCTGGCTAAAGCAAAGCCATCACTGAAATTATGATTTAGTTGGTGATAATAGAGGTATTGGTGGAGGGGGAGTTGTGGTAAGTGGTGAGGAGATGATGCATTAATCGGTTTGTTTGGTAACACTGGCTGCAGCACTGCCACACACACACATTGAACAGCTGATGTCTACCCACAATATTGAGTGCACGTATAAATGAACAATGTCGTATTCCTTCTACATTACCTTACATTAATTTTAAACTACGGAGTGAGAAAGCAGAAAGGCGGGGTGATTAGAGAGATGGAGTGGAAGGAAGTGGTAACACACAGTTGGTGTGTTGCCAAGTGCAAGCTTATCCTTGTTGGAAAATTTGGAATATTCAACCTGAGAATACACACGTCTTCATTGCTTGGTTGGATCAGGAACCTTAACACTCTCTTTTTCACAGGTGCCATGGTGAAGGGTAAATAAAAGTTATAAAAATTGCACCAAAAACAAGCACGGAGCAGGAAACCGTCTTTAAACTTCAGCCAAAACAGCGTAGGGAAACAAATGCTATCGCTGGAAGCTGGCACCACGAGCCGTGCTGCCATCTCTTGGCAGTCGCTGCTACAGCTGGTTCTCGCAGACCCGCCAACTGTCCCATGATAATTCAGCGATAACCCAGATATATCAATGATAAACGTACACATGGTCGCAATTGAGGATACCATAAGCCA